ATTTCACAGAATATTAACATGTCCACCGATATCCATCACATTACTGTAATATATAAAAAAAAAGAAAAACCAATGGCACATCGCCTTGTGGAAAAAGAATTAAGAGAATTAATTCAAAATTTCACTTGACTTAATTTTTTGGAAGCCTGATTCAGGTTACCGATCAACTGATTAACTCGATTAAAGATATCAATCCCGGAAAAAATCTTAAGGTGATAGTGAGATTTGAACTCGATACCTCCATACTCGAGACCTCGCAGTCCTTGCACTCAGTCCGTGAAACCACTTGTTCTTTTCTAAAATGTAATTATTTTTATCTACTTATTCTCAAACTATCCTACGCACTTTATTTATTATTTAAATTATTATTTTATTAAAAATAGTGCAGAGCAATGTACCTGTACCAATGGATAAAAATAGTTTTTTTTATTATTATTAAATATAATTTAAAATACCTTTTCACAACGTAAATAAATTTTTTGTTAATACTGATATACTGATTATTATAGTCAATTTTTAATATAATATATAGCAAATAAAATATATGACAATATGTATACACACCCACACAGAACGTGACATCTATTAGAGGTACATACAACATCCACAGCTCCATCTCCATGATGGATGATGAATGGACGTCTAATGCATATCTATGCTACGTTCACTATAAATATCCATAAAAAAAATCTATCATGGACATCTATATCTAGACGTATATTATAGATATTTATCAGATATATTTTCCAAGACTTAATAAATCACTAAAAAATATTTAGTTGCCATGCTTTTCATTATTTATTTACCTAATTGGTCGTTTATTATCGCATAGAAAATATTTATATAGCTCCGTGTGAAGGTTATCTCTATGATAAATGACAGATAGACATGTAAATGGATTTTTATATTAAATCCATTATTTTTAAGAACTTATGCAATTATTAAGAGTGTATTTGCCATATCTTTTTATTATTTTAATTTACCTTTTATTACGCATAAATAACTATATTATATATACAATCAATATATAGTGATATTTTTTTATTATTTTAATTTTTCTGACGTTACGCACACAGACAACGGTTCTCGCTTGTGTGCGTATTCCCAGTGGTTCCCACTACCTTGGTGCTCTCGGTGCTAGCCGGCTCGATCTTTCATCACTGGTCAAAACGACGATTAGGACGCGCTTGACGCAGTAATGTAAGATCTTGCAGGCTAGCACCAAGAGCACCGAGGTTGTGGGAGCCACTGGGAACACGCATTCAAGCGAGAACCGCCGTCCGTGTGCGTGACATCACGCTCGGCTGTTCGGCTCGTGAAAGAGCGCAGACATACTATGTTCTGCCTCGCTTCCACCAAGCCCGCTACGCGAGCANGACACTGAGGCTAGAAAGCAGTTTCGTTACGCGCTTGTAGCCTATGACAATATGACAACAAAAAATGCTTTTCCATGACTTACAATCTTAGAAAAAATAGATAATATTATTGATAAGGATAAGTTAAACATCTCAAGATGCATTTGTTATTACATTTTTATTAATTCTTATTAAAAGTTAACTGCGATAATTTTAAAGTTTTTAGATAATTTTTAGATTATCGAAAAACATTTAATATATATATATATTGTAGGATTTTTTTTTTTTATGTCTAGGTTGATAATGTTGATAGGCGGCAGGTAAGTATTTGCAAGGTATTGTAAGGCTGCCCTGAGAGTATTGATCGTGATCGATCAGACCTCTCGTTCATCGGATAGATAAAGCCGGACGTCAGACAGAGGACGTGTGGGGAAAGAGAGAGACAGCACACGAAGTAATATGACACTTGAAACACTTTATTAACTCAGTACATTTTTTGAACACGACTGCCCGATACACGCACGACTTACAGGCTCGCACCACTGTTAACGACTGACTTCTTTTCTTCGCATCTCGAAGTAAAGCGCCCCGAAATAAAACAATTACCGATTTCAGCATCACACTTCCTTTATTTTCCCGGGACATGCATATTCATGCTCGCTGCGCGAGGACGCTTGCTCGTGCGCACGCCCTTCTCATGACTGCCAACTGGCAGCCTGCGCGGTGACGTTGCGCATAAATCTCGCTGAGAGCGCCGTTTTGGTTACTGCAGTACAGTACTAACTTACAGTTCGGCCAGCCTGAAAGTACATTCGTTTCGGATGTTTATCAATATTTACTAAACTAAATGCATTTCTTAACAGATATCAACTGCTTGTTAGTCAGTCTTGAGCATAGATTTTTTTAAAAATAAAATTATTACAAATTTTCTTAATACTAATTAGACAGGTTTTTCTACTGTATTTATCCATGGTTTCATTCGGTCGGGAGACAGAATGGAATTGTACGGCCTGGATGATATGTTGAAACCAGGGATATCTTGTATCTCATATCGGTTATTGTTCAAAACCTTCGTCACTTGATATGGACCCTTGTACGTAGATTTTAGCTTTTTATCTTTGCCGGGTTTCATAAATGAACTTCTTATTAACACGTAATCGCCTACGCCATATTTAGAAAGTGTTTTATGACGCTTATTATAATATATTTTATTATAATTTCTTATTTTATCGGTTACTTCTAACACTACTTCTCGACTAGAAGCTCTTTCTTCGCACAAGTCTGTTTCTACTTTAGCAACTTTATTTAAAATTTTTACAAGTTTTTGGTCTGCGTGGCAACGTTGATCGTAACCTAAGAGTAACTCAGACGGGGATGATTTAATAGAGGAGTGATAGGTGTTATTTATGGCATACTGAATCTCGTTTAAATGATTTGACCAAGTTGTTTGTTCATCAACCACTTTTCTCAAGGAAGATTTCAGAAACCTGTTACCTCTCTCTACTAATCCATTCGCCCATGGCGCCGCTACGGCAATCAATCGATGTTGTATATCCCTTTCGCGTAAGAATTCTACAAATTCTTGAGAGGTGAAACCTGTTCCCCTATCTGTGGTAACTACGCGGGGATTACCAAAGATGCGAAATAGAAAAACAAAGTGTGTAATTGTTTCTTTAGAACTAGTCGTTTTAACGGCCGTCAACCAGGTAAATCTTGTGACAGCATCAATGATTACCAAAATATATTTCAATCCTTTTGAGTTTTCGGCCAGAGGCCCAAAATGATCAGCATGTATTACTTGGAAAGTTTTGTTTTGTTAGGTTATTCGTTAATTGTAATTCACCTTCTCTAGTGTTACTGAAACAGTTGGACATTAGATAAGTTAGACAATTGTCTAAATAATCGCGTACGCGCTTGACCATTGCCGGGAACCAATAGTTAGTTTGTATGCCTCTTAAGGTCTTTTCAAAACCGCCATGTGACATATTATCGTGGTATATACGTATTATGTTATTAATCATTACATCAGGTACAACAAACCGGGGTTTATCAGGCCCTTTTCTATAAACTAGGCCCTCAAAGAGTTCGTATTTTTTGTGATCAGCGTTTTCTAAATGTTGAGCTATCTCTTTAAGTCGAGTATCTTGTAGTTGCCAATATTCAAGCTCTTTTTCTATCGGTAATGCATTCACGTATGCACTTATCCTACTTAGTGCGTCAACATGTACCATTTTCCGTCCGGCGCGATGCAATACTTGAAAACGATAATTTTGCAGACGCAATGTCCACCGTGCAATGCGTGGATTGAGTTGCGCTTTGTCAACAGCGTATACCAGGGCGTGACAGTCAGTAACCACCGTGAAGGTTAATCCATATAAATAAACCATATAAATAAACATGAAATCTTTCAATAGCTTTGACCACCGCCAGCATTTCCAATTTGAAGCTGTGGTAGTTACTTTCCGCTTTGTTTGTTGCTTGACTGTAGTATGCGACTGGCGCCCAGGTACCTGAAGTCTGCTTTTGCATCAGAATTGCAGCCAAGGCCACTGCGCTTGCATCGGTGTGTAATTCCGTCTGCAATTGTGGATTGTACAGTCGTAAAACGGGGTACTTAATTAGCTCGCTTTTAAGTAGTTCGAATGCATCACGGCAATCTTTGTTGAAATTAAACTCAGCATTCTTGTGGAGCAACATATGCAAAGGCTTTGCCTTCTTCGCGTACTCCGGTATAAAGGCCGTAGCAGGATAAGTATGAGGTAGTTGCCCCCGCGAGTTTTTTGACCAAATGTTAGGCATATATTTGCACGTATAAAATACAAATCCTGTGAAAATTTCAACCATTTTTATTCACTGGTTTTCGAGTAAAAAATTATTTTCAAACT